TCCTTTGTAATAATAAATAGCTATAATAATAATTGATTCATATTTGGAGTAGAGTTCATATTAAATAGATCTAATGTTAATTTGTATAAGTATTTAATAGTTGAATTAATATCAGTATCTGATAGCCAATCATATAATATTAATAATTTGCTTAAATTAAAATTTCCTATATTATAATTAAAATAATAACCTATTTAAAAAAAACATCAAAGTTAGATAAATAATTTAATATATTTGTAATTATTAATTATGTCTGCTTACCTTCATATACAGATTTTCTTTTTCTAATGTAATATTTTTTGCTTTTAATGCTTAATATATTGAAAAATTTTTGGAACTAATTGTAATAATTTAAAATAATTTAAATTTAAATTAATTTAACACGTTATGTTAAAAAAGTGTTCAAAAGTCTCTGATTTATGTATCTATAGTAAAAATGGATAATTTGAATAAAATTCCTAATATGCTTTGACTAATAAAATCATTGACTTTATAAGAGAAATAAAAATTGCAAAACTTTGGTCTTTTAAAAATTTTTGCTTACAGAAATAAAATCAGGATACTTTTCACTCATATTTATTACATATTCTTTTCAAATTCATAAAAGAAAAAGAATGTTATTGATATTTTAATCCTTTCTAATGAAGTTATTTCACAGTTTAAATAATTATCGATAAGTTTTCCTAATAAATTTAATAAAAGGTATATATTAGATAATGAAAAAATACTATATATTATTTATAATAAAATTATTTTTATTTAACCCATAATAAAAAGGTATACAAAAAGTCTCTGTGTGTTCTCAATATTATAACAATTTTGTAAATTTCTTAAACAAAGTACACAATATGCTACAATATTATCTTAACAATCAAGTTTTATTATATTATAATAATACATTAAGAGTAGCAGCATAATTTAATTGATTTTTTTTAACATAAATGAAAAAAAATGAAACAATGATAAAAAGGATGGTATTTTAAAAATTAATATCATTATTTATTATTTGTCTGAATTGCTGAATAATGAGGCTAGAATTGGAAAAGTTTGACAATTTTAATAATTGTTCAAATCGTATTGTTAAATTTCTAAAATAAGAAGATATGCATCAGATATAATTGCATTCTAGCTAGTTTTTTTAGCATATTTTAGATCTTATACACAAATAACAGGTCTCATATTTGAAAAAACTGAATAGTTAAAATCAATTTTAAGCTTTGTATTTTAAAAAGTTAACCACTTATTTATTAAATATGATTGGATTGCAACTTGAACTTTGAATTTAAATATAGCACTGTTTGATCCAATTGATAAGATTGAAAGTTAAGTTGTAGTGTTATTCAAGTTAATAATTCTTAATGAAAGTCAGTTATAGTTGATATATTATCAGATCTATCATTTATAATTAATGCAATAATTACTGGAGGGAAATTTATTATGTTATCTAATAATTAGTGAATAGAATAGTAAATTGCTATTGATATAATTAAAAAAAATTAAAGAATTGGATAAATGAATTATCTGCAAATATAAGTATAAATATCTTTTGTAATTGTTTTTTTTTATTTTAATATTATTAATAATGGGTTGAATATTTTTATATATATTAATTTTAGTTTGTTTAATTAGTAGCGTTGATTTGATGATATAGTCCAAAGTAAAATTATAATAAAAAGTAGGTTTCAACTTGAAATTATCTGACATAATAACAATTAGTTTCTAATAATTTAATATATAAATTAGCTTTTTAAATTTAGCAATATTCTCAAATAAAAGAGTAGAATTTATAAGCGTATTTTTATTATTAGTTTAGAGTTTACTATTTTTTTTATAATAAAAAATTTTTTAAAAAAAATTTAACAGATAAAATTAATTAATTAATAAATAAATAAAATACTATATATTTTGAATTATACATTCTTTCAAATTTTGACAAAAAAGATCAAGAGCTCGAGTACTAAAATTTCCTAATATAATAAGAAGTTTATAAAATCTTTATTATATTAAATATTTTATTTTCCTTTATTATTATTTTTATGAATTGCAGCTTGAACTATTACTTCACAAAGTCCTGTAAATATAGGTTTTTCTTTAAATACATTATTATTTGCTTGATCTATTAGTGTAACCCATATATTTATATCATAATCATCATTAATAACAGATCAAATTTCATAAAGATCCTGATTCTGCAAATGCTTTTTTAAAAAATTATTTTCAAAATAGAATTTTAGCATAAATTTAAGATTTTTAGATGCTAGTTTTGGTATAATAAGATAATGTGTTATTATGGAATTGTATTTTAGTATTAATCATTTATCACAAATTATTTTTTTAGATTCAGAATATCCTATGCATTCCTTAGCATGTATAGCAATACTTATTAATAATATTTGAAAAAGATTTTCATTAATAATCTTTAGATAAAAATATAATAGATAAAATACTCACAGTCTTTATCAACACGCCATTGAGATTCTGCATAAATTTTCTAATTTAATACACATTTTTGAAATGGTTTAAGTTTTTTTCTTGTAAATTTGTGAGAAAATTTCTTAAGATACATTTCTTTAGCAATTACTTTAACACGATGAGCTTTACTATAACTTGCTAGTATTCTATCAACATATTTTATAATTAAATCTAAATGTAATCCTAAATATGACTTTTTTTTTCTACCAGTTTGATTAATTTCTGAACTAATAACCTTTATATTAGCATTTTTTTCTCATTAACCTCTTCCTCATTTTCATTTACTGTAATAATATTATCATCATCTATTGTATCTTCTATCTTACTTTCCCAATCATTTTAATCATCATCTGAATTTACATTATTAACTTCTTTATCAGTATTATTGAATTAAAATAACACAAAATACTTTGTTATTTTTTCTAGTTGTATTCTAGACCATTTGCATGCTAGTTGATATAATCTTTATCATATTTTCTATTAAGTTTTATTATAGCTCCACATATAACAAATTACCTTTTTAGCATACACAACTTTAATAATACTGTATTTTTCTAAAAATAAGCAATTTCTGAAAATAAGCAACTTCCAAATTAACTTAATACCTGAAAATAAGTAACTTAATTAAATTTTATAAAATACCATATATAAAACAAAAATTTTTATTTTTAATATTTCAATATACAAATCACGTTAAACATGATTGTTGATATCATCTTCAATATCATCTTCAATATCATCATCAATATTATTGTCACTATCGATGTTATCACTACTATCGATATTATTTTTATTAAGGATCTCTAAATCAGAATCCAAATTGATTGATATTTCACAAGTTTTAAAGGATTCTATAATAATTTTATCAAGAATTCTTTTCCAAGACTTTTTAACCTATGAATATACATCATTAAATCTAGCGCGATAAAGGCTTTTCTTAGCAGTTTCTTCAACACCACCATCAGCCATCCAAATATGTCATTCTTTATGAAGATTATCCTTGAATGGTTTATTTATTGCAACATCTAGTGACTGATAAATGCTAGTCAACCCACCCAATGTCTTACTATGCTACGATTGATATCAAAGTACTCTGCTACCTTAATGTAATCATGTTCTTTGCATAGGTAACAATTTGTATTTTTTGTTCTATAGAATACAAAGTTTGTGTACGTTTATTAACTTTTATAACCTTTCATTTAACAATTCTTTTTTTATAGAATGTGGCATTTTAGCTGAATAAAAAAAATTTTTCACAATTTTACGTGATATTAGATGATTAACGTGATCAATAATCACAAGATTTATTGATGAATTAGCAGATTTTAGATTGTATATCGTAAGTTGATCAAAATATATCCAAAAATAAGCAACAATATAGCAAAAATATATTGCTTATTTTTAGAGGAATACAGTAAATGGATATTTTTATAATTTTTGTTTTGAATATTTTAACTAACCATAATATGCAGATATGTAAATATAATAATAATATATAAAGATGAAAATAACAAATAAATAATGATAATATGTAAAGATAAAGATGATAATTTATATAAAAAAATTTTTATAAAAAGATATAAAATACCAATTGCCAAATTAAGTATCTGCTATACAAATTTAATACTGAATTTAGTTAAATTTATGCCTTATTATATATTTTTAAATATGACTAATATAAAATTAAACTATTGATTAAGCAAAAAAAAATCTCACATGTGATAAAATTTCTTATAGCTATTAAGCAAACTTAAATCTAACATATTTGTATATTATTCAGATTCTACTAGTATTACTCAATTAGTTCAACCATTTAATTTGTAGAATTAAAATAGAACTAATAGAATCATTGTTATTTTTAATTAGTAATCAGATTTTTTAGCATAAAAAGGATAATTATTAAAGATTATTGTTATAGCTGAATATTAAATCATATTCTATTCTAAATTTTATTATGAACTTAATTATATTAAAAATATTTGATGTAATTAAGAAATTTAGTTAGTCAAATTGTGATTACTTATAAATAAAAGGCTTAACAATTAGGGATAAAAATGATTCTATCAGTTCTATTCTAATTTTACAAGTCAAAGTGAGTTAAATTAATTAATAATATTAGATAATTAATTTTAAGTAATATATAAAACTAAATTAAATAAGTTGATTCTAATAAAAAATTAAATTGTTTGAAATAAATTAAATAAATTAACAAATATAAATTATATAAATAGATCAAGATCATTATTTAAATTATAATTTGAAAAATTAATTAATATAAAATTAGTATAATTTTAATTTATTTATTTTATTAAATGTATAGAATTGAATAAGGTATATTTAGTTTAAGCTATTAATTATATCACATTAACAAAAGTTATCATATTTTACAAAGAATAATATATATTAAATATGCTTATATTAATATAAATTTTTATATTTAATTTAATTATCAAAAATTTTTATTATTATATTTTATTACATTATTATTTACTATTTTACTAGTTTTTATTTATTCAACTTTTCATATATTAAACAAGAATAGCCTTTCTTTTATTTACTGCTTCAGCCTTTGTCTTTTTTCCTTGGTCTTGTCCTCTTAACTGTTTTTGTTTCTTCATCCAACGACCTGCTAGTATTAGTATAAAGGTTAGCTGATATTGAACCACAGATTAACAAAAGTCTAAATAAACAAAGATATACCTTTTCTTAGAATAAACACAAGGTAGTAGCTGATATAAACATTTCCTTTCAATGTCTGTAACACATAGCCGGCCTGGGTCATTCCATGCACGCAAAAGATTTTTAAAAATGCTTTCATGGTTGTCGTCAAGTTTGAAGACCTTCAGGCCATGGATAATGAGACGATTTCCAGAATCACATTCCTCGGACAGCTTGCCATTATCATAATTGCTTACGTTTGTCCCAGATTCACTTTCATAAGCAGACCCTGAAAAGGTATAAAATATTGATAAATTAAACCATACCATTCAATATAGGTGTAACCATTGTATTGTATGAATGAATGAATGCAAAGAGACATCAAAGTTAAACTGTTCTTACCAAGATGCACGAAAATACCCAGATAATTCTTCTCAATATCAGCACAACAATCGTCAGCAAACATCACTTCGAGTGATAATAACGTCTTGACAGCATGTGTCTCTTCAAATCGATTTTGCTTTGCACTATTGTAGTTCTTAATCTACAGACATAATTCACCCCTGTTAGTCGTGCAGGATCATTATAACAGGAAACCCCGCTCGCGTTATACCTGAAAAATCAGAGCACCCAAGGCCTTATCGCTTTCACGAATAATTGGTATCGCTAAATCTGCGCCTTTTTGATTGCGTTTGAAGACAATGGCTCCACGCCGGCTCCATATCTCCTTACAAGTCTCCTTATCTGGCTTATAAGTAAGGGAAATAAAATGAGAGAATCCTATTCTAAAACCATCAAGTTGTAAACATTTCTTCCTTGGAAATTTCACTATTAGTTCATCCAGAAAGTCGAGGACCGGCTGACGGATCGAGAATGACACCTTGTCGGAAGAGAAAGATGAGTCGATAATAATGACAAAGACATGCTTATTCAAAAAATTAATACATACTCTCACTTCGCATCTTTTGTGGCATATCAAGCGACGCCAAGCACTCAACACCAACAATCTTGCGACCAACTCGCCCTGGCATCCGGCTTCCAGAATTCCACCAGACTGGAAGGCTCCATCCAGTTCCCTCAAAATTTCAACTTCACTATTTTCCTCAGAAAGCACTTCGAGTGCAGCTTCTGAAAGAACTGGTTCAAATGGATATGTAACAAGAAGCCTCTTCCGTTCTTTATCAATGGCGACAAGTGTGCCCATATGTGCCTTGACAAGGTCTGATGCTCGCTTGAGGTCGGGGAAACATAAAGGGAGGAAATGCAGGCAACTAGAGCGAGAGCTGCTGTACGCTTTAGCCTATAATCTTCAATTTGACTCCAAGCGGATGCTCCACCAAGGAGTTTGTGTATTGCAAGCCGCACCGCACTATCAAACTTGTCGGTATCATCAGGTGCCGCTAACCAATAAGAGCTCCACAGTGGTCGACCGAATCTGATAATATCGTATCCTTCACTATGTTCTATCTGTGGGATTCCGTTCACGTTCCTATAAAAAACTTGGATAAGTTATTCAACACAACAAAAGTCACGTAAAAGAAACAAAGATGACAAACCTCAAACAGTCTGTTGTCGCTATGTAGATAAACGGTTTGTGTGTTTCAAGGTTATAGTCTCTCGCCTGGATAATGAATAAAGAAGTTCTCATGCATTAAAATTTTGCGCAATTCAATTAAGTAAGACAATCGATCATCTATACTTACTGAAGGGCCCATTTCTTTCCAGGGCGCCAAATTGACAACGGAAGAGTTTGTGTCAGTTAAGATCCCAACTACATAAAGGCGATTATCTCTGAGTGCTCGACGAACGGCCCTAAACGGTATATTTGTTTCTCCATAATTAGTCTTATCTTTATCTACAAAAAAGAATCAGAGCATGAGTCAGAATTAAAAATACGTGTTCGCCAGAGAGCAGCTAGCACTTACTGAATAAAGAAGAAGCTTCATCGAAAAAGATATGTATTTTCTGTTTGCTTGTGCTCAATCCAAACTTTTCTCCAGAAATCTTATTCTCAACAATCCACTTTTTACTATCAGAAACTTTATTCCAGAAAGCGGCCTCTGACTCCTAAAAGAAGAAGTTTAGCATAATAATAACAATAGTAACAATCAACTGTGTATGTTATCTAACCTTTTTACTTAGTAAGCCCGCAGGTTTTGAGAACAGATCCATTTCATAATATGTTTTCATCATGGCCCGGATCCACTGTCCTGCTGCTGCATGGGCAGTATTTATATCTTCAGCAGCCTTCAATTCTTTCAACATAATATCACTCATCGGCGTTGCCGGTGGATAACCGGTTGAACCTTTGCTACGAAAACACACATATATTAGAGGAATCCCTTTCGATGAAAGTTCGCAAATCGATCTGGTCTTCCCGTAGCCAGACGACTGGACAACAGCCAAGTAATTGTAAGATACACTGTCACTGGCGACTTCTTTTAAGCGGTCAATCAACCCAGTCAGGAACTTGGCGGGCTCATGAAACTCAATTTTGAATGCATTGTCCCAGACTAAAAAAACGATACTTAGTACCCTATTAGTTTTAAAAAAGCCAAAACACAAGAACAAACCTGTAATGTTCTCCGGTAGTTCATGCGTGGGTTTCGAAATTAGTTTCTCTCCTAGAAGAATTCATAAAAGAATTGTCTATACCTAAGTGCCATGCTGTAACAGCATTCGAACTATTCTCCCTCCGTTTCTCTTACTCCACCTAACCAAACGTATCATATCTTGCTTGTTTGCCTTTCAAACAAGTTTACGTATAAACCTTTGCTACGACTCTGCTCTATGTCCCAATCCCAACGCAAATCGTAATGCATTTCACTATCCTCCCAATAAACGTGTATTTCATTGCTCGCTTACCCTGTTTAGATGCCATATATGCAGCGTAAACCTCAGGGTGATCCTTTGCGTATTGAATTGCAAAGTTGGCATATTCGACTTGGTCCATGTTGTGTTGTCAGGTTATGAGAAGTACGTAAAGAGCGTGTAGCTGCGCGTTTTTATCTTGCATATCATACGCCGGACATGATCATTTTCATATTTAAAAAAATTCGTGTAACTATAATTGAGTTACCGTAGAGCACTGACTATACTACCCCCCCCCCCCGTGTAAACTACCCCCCAAGGTTTTGGGCTGAAATTTTGTAAAAACAAGTCAAAAGCAAATTATTTTTATTCAAAAATTATAATTTTATACAAAATAAACGAAATTAAGTGAAATTAAAGATTATTCCAATTATTATACTCGATTTCGTCATTATCATTATTTTCTTCTTCATTTTCATCTGATAACTCATTTTCTTTATCTTCATCCATCATAAGATCATCATAATCAAAAATCATATCATCTTCCGAACCATCAGTTTTAACTGAAATTCCACAACATTTAAATGATTTACGAATCAAATTTGAATCAACCTTCTCCCATGCATCTTTTACCCATGAAGATACCAAAGAATATGATGGTTTTTTGATACGCCCAGCCGGAGTTAGATCATGAATTTCATTTGTCATCCAATCATTATAAAGTTCACGAACCTATATATTAAAAAAAAAGAAAATTTTAATTTTTTTAATTCATATTGTAATAAATATAACAGTAAATTAATAACTGATACTTACATTAGATTTAAAGCTTTTATTAACTGCTACATCAAGAGGTTGTAATCTAGATGTTAATCCACCAGGAATTACTGCAATATTAGTATGAACTTCATCCAATTTTTGTTTAACAGAATCAACTAAATGACCACGAAAAGAATCTAAAACAAGAAGAGATCTAGGATTTAATAATTGATCAGGAGTTCTTTTAGGCCAAATATTATTAATCCACCAGATCATTTCTTCTTCATTGACCCATCCTTTTGCATTAGTTCTAATAAATATATCATTAGAAAAATCTTCTTGAGGTTTATTTTTCAATTTAAAAATAATAACAGGAGGTAGTTTTAACCTATCAGCCATACAACCTAACATAACTGTAAACATATTTCTTTTATGTCCTGTAGTTTTAATATTAATAGTACAGTCAGCCCTGTTTATAATCACCCCATATATAATCACATCCTGTTTATTATCACCTAATTTTAATGTCCCGAAATTATAATGTTAAAATATACTTTTTATAATCACCGCTATATACTAATCACTATCACCAGTATAAAAGAAAATTGTATATTCAAACAATTATAAAATAAACTATTTATAATCA